TGATATATATATGTGTGTGTGTGTGTATATATATATATATATATATACACACATAAATATATACACATATGTGTGTACATATATATTTGTGTGTGTATATATATATATATATCACATATGATATATATATGTGTGTGTGTGTGTGTGTATATATATATATATATATATATACACACATAAATATATACACATATGTGTGTACATATATATTTGTGTGTGTATATATATATATATATATGTATATATTTATACACATGTATACATACATACACACAACTTCAAAATAACATAAATTCTCAACCTGTACTGAAAACAGTTTCTGTGTCTCAGCGCCACCAGCTGGTGAGAGGTGGTGACGTCAATTTGAACCCTGCCCACTGGAACCGGTTCTGAAAGCATAATGGAAACACAACCTGTACCGTACCGAGTAGAGTAGAGCCGGGCTGTACCGGCCCGTACCGGTACTAATGGAAAAGGGGCATTCTATTCACGCTTTGAAGTCATGGACTCACATTCCTCCATCCTCCACACCAACCCCAGCTCAACTGGTTTAACGACTTTGGACTGCCCTCGACAACCCCCTGCTATCTCTGTACAAGAGGATGAAGTAAGGAGGCTCTTTAAAAGGCTGAACACACATAAGGCTGCAGGCCCAGACCTTGTGTCACCCTCCACGCTGAGACATTGTGCTGGAGAGTTGGCTCCGGTCTTCACAGGGATCTTCAACTCTTCTCTGGAGTCATGCCACGTCCCAGCCTGTTTCAAGTCCCCCATCATCGTCCCTGTCCCCAAGAAGCCACGTGTCACAGGACTAAATGACTACAGACCTGTAGCTCTCACGTCTGTAGTCATGAAAACCTTTGAACGCTTGGTTTCATCTCACCTCAAGTCCATCACCAACCCCCTCCTGGACCCCTTGCAGTTTGCCTACAGGGCCAACAGGTCTGTAGATGACACAATAAACCTGACTCTTCACTTCATCCTGCGGCACCTGGACTCGCCAGGAACCTACGCCAGGATCCTGTTCGTGGACTTCAGCTCTGCATTTAACACCATCCTCCCTGCTCTGCTCCAAGGCAAGCTCTCCCTGCTCCATGTACCTGACTCCACCTGCAGGTGGATCACAGACTTCCTGACAGACTGGTGTCGGTGCGTGCGGCTGGGGAGAACTGTCTCGGACACTCGGACTGTAAGCACAGGATCTCCACAGGGCTGTGTGCTTTCCCCCCTGCTTTTCTCCCTGTACACCAACTGCTGCACCTCCAGCCATGACTCTGTGAAACTTATTAAGTTTGCAGATGACACCACCCTCATCGGGCTCATCTCAGACGGTGATGAGTCTGCATACAGGAGGGAGGTGGACCGGCTGGTGACCTGGTGCAGCAGCAACAACCTGGAACTCAATGCCCAGAAGACAGTGGAGATGATTGTGGATTTCAGGAAAGCCACAGCCCCTCTGCCCCCCCTCACCTGTAATGATACCCCCATCACCACTGCAAATTCTTATCGGTTCCTCGGCACCACCATCACCCAGGACCTGAAGTGGGAGCCGACCATCAGCTCCCTCATCAAGAAGGCCCAGCAGAGACTGTACTTCCTGCGACAGCTGAAGAAGGCCAAGCTGCCGGCCAAGCTGATGGTGCAGTTCTACACGGCCATCATCGAGTCCATCCTCAGCTCCTCCATCACGGTGTGGTACGCCGGGGCCACTGCCAGGGACAGACTCAGACTGCAGCACGTTGTGCGCTCAGCTGAGAAGGTGATCGGCTGCAGCCTTCCATCCCTCCACGACCTGTACGTCTCCAGGACTGTGAGGCGAGCAGGTCGGATCACAGCTGACTCTGCTCATCCTGCACACGGACTGTTTGAACCACTCCCCTCAGGCAGGAGGCTTCGGTCCATTCGGACCAGAACCTCCCGCCATAAGAACAGTTTCTTCCCCTCTGCTGTTGGACTCCTGAACACTCATAATGCTACCTCATAACTTCTGCTTTGGTCACATTACATCTGTTTTATAACTGAATACTCCATCTGTACTGTTCTCTAAGCTTTTTTATTGTTTTCTATTGTATGGGTGTACATATGTTTATGTTATGTTTTTAATTTTACTTTATTTGTGGGTGTACACAGGCTTATGTCTTGTGTAATGTTCTCATTTTTACTTTATTTTTACTTTATTTTACTTTACTACTATTAGCACCTTATGTCGAAGCAAATTCCTAGTTTGTGAACCTCGTTCATTGACATGGCGATAATAAACTGATTCTGATTCAGATTCTGATTTATATATATTATCTCCAGATAAAGACAACTTGCCAAGTTTTGTCTGTTTCTCAGAACTGCGCTTCATTTCTTGACTGTACCAGCTGTGTTGGGTCAGACCCTCCATGACTTTTGTCCTTCTTGTTCGTTCTATGTTCAGGCTTCCTGCCCCCTATCACCCAGCCAGAGAAGTTCTTCCTGTCCCAGCTGATGTTGGCACCACCCAGAGACCTCTTTAAGAAGACCCCCAGACAGGTGTCCTGCATGGACGTCGGCAACATGCCCCAGTCCATCGACATCAGCGGGCTGCAGCTGGCCTTAGCAGGTCGGTGGAAGTAGCCGAGCTGAGGCTGCTCAGATCTTTGTTTCTGTGTAAACTCTCTTCTCATGTGAAGTGTCATTTGAACACAAGCTGTAAACTCTTGTGTTCAGTGCAGCTGCATCACAAACTACTTCATTCTCCCTGCTGACAAGACACAATATAGTTTTTACTAAATGACTAAATTATTTGCTCCGTTCACAAAACACAATTCCAGGCAGTGTGTGTTGCTGAAGGGCCGTGGCAGCGTGCTGTGCGTTCTAACTCACGCCTCCTTTTCTTCTGTGATGCTTCATTAATGAGTCATCACAGAACACGTGTACCTGCAAACTTGTTGCGTTTTGACAAAATTTGACGATTTCATATTAAAATATGTAATTTACATGAATCATCTAGATCTGAAGAGGGGTTGTTTGGGGGGGGGGGGGGGTCAGAGGCGTGGGGGATGGTATAATTTCTCTAAGAAACAAATAATAAAAAGTAACGATGATTTCAATCTGAGTTAAAACCCAAAGAGAAAAGATGTTTTCAGAGAAGATCTAAAAACAGGAAGTGATGTCAAAGGCAGATCAGGCCACAGTTCACGGGCAGCGGCAGAACGCTCGGTCACCTCTCAGCCTCCTCCTAGACTTTGGAACGACCAGCGGGACCTGACCTGACCTGAGTGAGCGTGAGTGCTCGTCCAGCTGGAGCAGATCGGACGGATACTGTGGCACCACGAACACATACATGATTTGAAACGCTCGTCCAAATCTGCCTGGTTTCTTTACCAAGTGTTCGTCAGTACATTAAGTCACGAGCACCGTGTGCCTGCCAGGGTGACGTAGGCAACCAAAACGTGCACGGCCTAGAAAACAATTTTACAATCCGTGCACATGAAAATATGCTGATTTTCAAAAAGTGTCTGCTCAAAATGTCAGTCTGCAGTGAAACTGTGTGTTTACTCAGTTTTCCTGCATCTGTGAGCTCCAACATTTCCAGCTCCGTCACCTTCAGAGGAATCACTAAAGTTCCAGTTAAATACATTAAATACACTAGTTTCACTTTTTAGACACATGTAGAATGTGACACATGAGGGAATGTAGAAACCAAACCAAAGCTAAAGAAATAAAATCTCACAGAAGGAATCGGACCTTTTCTTTTCACATTGAATGTCATGAAGCCGTTGGTTCGGTCTGATCAGAGCTGTTTAGTGGGGCCCGTGGTCCTCACCTGCAGCTCCTCTGACTTCTTCTTCCTGGTGCAGAGCGGCAGTCGGAGCTTCCCACTCAGAGCAAAGCCAGTTTCCCGAGCATCCTGAACGACCCCGACCCAGACTCCTCCAACTCAGGATTCGACAGCTCTGTGGCCAATCAGATCATCGACTCCCTGGTCACCGGGCCGCGCCCTCCGCTGGAGAGTAAGTATCCACGACGATGGTTTACCCCGAAACAACCACTGTGTCCTGCAGCTGTGAGGTGTGCACGAGCGAGGCTGCTCTTTAAAGTGAATAAGATTAACAACAGAGTTTGACTGGTTTGCTTTGTCTCTGCATTCAAAACAAACGTTAACGTCTGTCTTGCTGCTCTTTCTACACTTTAAATAAACGAGCAGACTCTTCAGAGACCAGTGAATCTGCAGCCTCACCCGTCGGTCACGTCTCTAATCTGTGGAGATTATCGTACACCATGTGCTTCTGCATCAGTTTATTCTGCCTCCTACCGAGTGAAGTGCACGGATCGGTGCACGTTTGACCTGACATCTCTCTCGGTTTAATATAACGGATGCTTCGCATCCTCACTGGTCACCATGGTTACCACCACCAGAGCATCACCCAGTGTTTCATCTACAGGTCACTTCCGCCCCGAGTTCATCCGCCCACCTCCTCCTCTCCACGTGTGCGAGGACGAGCTGGCGTGGCTGAACCCCACCGAGCCGGACCACAGGGTCCAGTGGGATCGCTCCATGTGTGTGAAGAACAGCACCGGCATGGAGATCAAACGCATCATGTCCAAGGCCTTCAAGAGCCCGCTGTCCGCGCAGCAGCAGTCTCAGGTGGGTTTCTGCGTCGCTCTGCCACGTGACGGCGCATTTCATCGAGTCGCCCAGTTCACACTATTTTCTTTTGGTGTGTGCACATGCAGCTGCTGGCAGAGCTGGAGAAGGACCCCAAGCTGGTCTATCACATCGGGCTGAGCCCGGCCAAGCTGCCTGACCTGGTGGAGAACAACCCACTGGTGGCCATCGAGATGCTGCTGAAGCTGATGCAGAGCAGCCAGATCACGGAGTACTTCTCTGTACTGGTCAACATGGACATGTCTCTGCACTCCATGGAGGTGGTCAACAGGTGGGACCCCACAGCCCGGTCCTCAGGCGCTGCAGCTCTGAGCGCAGGCCGTTCTCATCTCAGGAGGTTTTTGGAAACAAATGTTCATTGAACAGTTTTTATGGGACCAACATTTATCATTTGTTAAACAGGGACTTCAGTAGCTGTAATAAAAAGTGCACAGAGCCTTCAACAAGTGTGAGCATTTTAAAATGACCTTTTAGAGAAATAACTCTGACCCGACTGACGAGCTCACAGCTGGTCCAACATGGCTGCTGTTGTCATAGAAACGACTAGTTTTAACTGTCCTTTACACAAAACCCCATTTGAAAATGGCTGAATTGTCCCTTTTAGGAAGTAAACAGCAGGATGGTAGATGTTTTGTGTTTGTCATCAGACGCTGCTGGGAGGAAGCGTCAGTCGTGTTTTTACCTCCTTCTTCTTTTTATGACTTGACGTACGTTTTTTTCCCCAAAATATTCAGCACCAGTGCTTTGGACAACTCTGTTTATTATTTTTATTATTATTTAAGAACCAAAACAAGACAATCTTCCATAATCTGAGACTGTCGGTCTGTAAGACACGTTTAATTTAAATAAGCATCATAATTTAGTATTAGGCTTCAAACGGGGGATTAGAAATCAGCAGACCAAGATTTAAATGTTATTTTGTCCAATAAACACGCACATGTGAAAAAGCCCAATAATCACAGGCTGCTGATCAATAACTAACCTTCATGCTAATTGATATGAAACTGTCAGAATATTAATCGAGTTAGCGTCACGTTCGTCACTGGACACGTAGGCTAGTCTGTGCCATGACTCTGAGAGTGAAGAGTTTCACTGCAGCGTGTTTTCAGAGCGGGGACCAGAACTTCTGATGTTTGACAATCACACGTCTTCAGACATGACGCTCTGCTCTCCTCCTTTAGACTGACCACGGCTGTGGACCTCCCCCCAGAGTTCATCCACCTCTACATCTCCAACTGCATCTCCACGTGTGAACAAATCAAAGACAAGTACATGCAGGTACACTTCAGCTCACCCAGGAGGGACTTTCCTTCAACTAGTGTCTGCAGGACGTGCTCAGGACTAATGTCTCCTGCTCTGAGTACAGCTGTTGAAGTGTACCCGTGTCGGTTCTGAGCCACGTGTTGTCTGTAACTTTTAGAATCGGCTGGTGCGACTGGTCTGCGTCTTCCTCCAGTCTCTGATCCGAAACAAGATCATCAACGTTCAGGACCTGTTCATCGAGGTCCAGGCCTTCTGCATCGAGTTCAGCCGCATCCGCGAAGCTGCGGGCCTCTTCCGCCTCCTCAAGACTCTGGACACCGGAGAAAACCCGTCTGAGGCCAAAGCTGCTAAATGAAGAGGCCGAGCGCGTCGGGACGATGTCGTCGCCTCAAACAGAGACTCAGGACGATCCTTCAGCGAGTTTGATGCTGAAACAGCTGCAACGAGCCGAAACTAAACTGCTTTCACTGCTCTCCTCCTGCAGACTGAACCTTTTCATGAGTATTTTTACCTCCAGAACTCTTCTTCTCTCTTCAAATTAAACATTTGATTGATGTTTAATCCAATGGTTGAGTCTCGGCTCGTCATTTTTGATTTCTGAAATGTTCTTCATTAGACGACTGAAGGACAGATTGTGATGGGTCTGTTCAGCTGCTGCTCAGGACATCTGTCAAACATCTGTCCTCCCTCACCTTCAACACTTCCAGCTCGCAGCAGTTCATCCTGCGCTCAACCCAAGTTACTGCTGAAGGAAAAACACTTCTTCATAAACACGGCAGCTAAAACCAGACGGATGAAAAATGTGTCTTTAAAGCAGAATCAAAGTGAATAGTTGTAGTTTGGATGTTTTTGAGGCAGAAATCCATGTGGATGAGTTCAGTCCACCTCAGAGGATGAGATGCTGGGTCCATTTTTCATCCTTTACTCACAGGAATATTGTGGCCATTTTGAATGACTAAGTAGAAGTACTAAAGAATATCTTACCTGCTGTGGTTAGCTCTGAACAACCAGTTTGGAGATGGTTAAATTTAATATTTAACCATCCTGATGCATGTTCAATAATCCAGGTAGAAAAATCCAAAAAAGTTAAATCTGGTCCTTTGGACATTCAAAAAAAAACAAAACAAAGCAAGTCAACAAAAAAATGTAGAAACGTTTTGTCTCTCGTCCGAGAGACTTCCTCAGTCTGAGGTGCTGTATTCAGCTCAGTCTCTTAAATAGCACCTTCTCAGGGTGGATCAACCAGTTTGCTGCTGACAACCAAAACCAGCTGATCACATGCTCAAGAAGGACCATCAGCCTAACAATGGATCATTAGCACCTGATGGCTGTTTACTGTTCACAGAGGGCTGAGTGATACTAGCAATCACAGCATTGTAAGAGGGGGACAGTTGAACCCGGAGGCTCCACCCCTGTTTAATGATGGACGATTTCTTTTCACAAAGATGGCCTCCTTTACTCCTCTCTCAAACCATCGTTCCTCTCTGTCCAGGATGTGAACATCTTCATCCTTGAAAGAGTGACCGCTGTCCTGGAGATGAGTGTAGACCGCAGAGTCCTGGCCTGATGATGTTGATCTTCTGTGCTGGTCCATCCTTTTGGCCAGTGGCTGTTTAGTTTCCCCGATGTAAGACTGATCACCCTCCTGACACTGAACAGCATACACAACATTGCTCTGTTTGTGCCGGGGGACTGGATCTTTGGGATGAACCAGTCTTTGCCGTAATGTATTTTGGGGTTTAAAAGCCACTGGGACGTTATGTTATGTAGTTACAGCTACTGAGTCAGCCATCCGCAACAACAAAATGAAAGAGGCTGAAGCAGAACAACTCAGAATCAAAGTTTCAGCCTGCTTCAGCAATGCCAAACCACCACCTTCCAACATCAGTAGAGAGGAGAGGGACGCACTCACCACTCTTAGCAAGGACAAAAACATCATCATTCTCCCAGCAGACAAAGGAAGTTGCACAGTGATTTTGAACCAGAAAGACTATCATGAGAAAGTTATGACACTCCTTAGTGACTTAAACACTTATGAACCTCTGAAAAGAGATCCAGGAAGTGGTTACAAGAAGAAATTGAAAGATTGCCTGAAAATTTTGGAGCAGGACAAGGCTATTGACCGTTTTCTGTACCACAGACTGTACCCAGGGGAGGCCACACCTAGTCTGTATGGTTTACCTAAAATCCACAAACAAGGTGTACCTTTAAGACC